TTTGGTGTCCTTCATTCTATTTCATCCTGGACACTACAGAAAATGGGCTTAAAGTGTAAAAAACCGAACTTCTCCTTTAAAGCAATGTTCCAACATTCCCGGAATTTTAAAGGAATGTTCCAACATTCCTGGAAGCTTAAAGGAATGTTCTAGAACCGTTTTAGGAAGGTTCCAGGTGTGTGACTCCATCATCAGAACCATAGAAGCTGAGGTTCTGGGTCAGACATTGAGGTTCCGGGTCAGAGGCTGAGGTTCCGGGTCAGACATTGAGGTTGTGGGTCAGAACCTGCGGTTCTCCGTCCAGCAGGCAGATTGCCGTCAGCGTTTCCCAGCTGTGATCTTCCAGAACCTCCTGCCGGTTCCACCAGAACAGATGAAATCATTGGCCAGCCAGATGATCCCAGACGGAGAGGTTCTGCTAGAACCGGACGGGACCGGCAGGTTCTTTACATTCAGGTCATGGAAGTTCTGATGTGTCGAAGCAGAGGGGACTTTAAGGTTCTGGAGGTTTGGACCTCCTCCTCTCCATCTCTTCAGCAGAACCTCTTCATCTCCTCTAAATGGATCCAGAACCGCGCTGGGTTCTACTGTGGATGGAGGAGGGGGAGGAGGAAGGTCTTAAGGCTGGAGACTAAAGGAGATGAGCTCCTCGGGGCGGATTGGACCGGACCGGACCGGAGCGGACCGGACCGGAGCGGGCCGGACCGGAGCGGGCCGGACCGGGCCGGACCGGGCTGGGCTCAGTAGGAGGAGATGTCCGAGGAGCTGCTGCTGTTGCTGGTGGAGGTCTGAGCCCGTTTGATGTAGAGGTTCAGCAGCTTCATCTGCAGGAAACACAACATCACAATCATCATCCTCGCTGCGGCCTTCCGGTCCGGCGGGTCGGAACCGGGCCTACCTTGCTGCCGGTCAGCTGGGACAGGTAAGGCTTGAGCTCCTCCCCGATGACGGCGTAGATGGCCACCAGGCAGAAGACGCTGGCCTTCCTCACGCTGCTCTCCGTGTTGTCGTAGCCCTGCAGCAGACCCGGGATGACGTCCGGCAGCAGCTGGTGCAGCGGCTCCCTGGAGACGCGCTCGATGGCGCGCGTCTGCATCTTGATGGCCGCCAGGTTGATGGGGTAGTCGGTGGTCTGGACGATGGGACAGAGGACCTTGATGCACTGCTCCGGGTAGATGGAGCCGGCCAGCGTGGACGCCGCCTCCTCGGCCGCCCGCACCACCTGAGGACGACAGGGAGAGGATGAGGAGCTGCCGGCGCCGGAGGAGCGGCTCCCGGATGATCCGGCACCTCCTTGTGGGAATCCTTGTGAGCCTCCAGCGTCTTCATGATGGTCAGCTCGGCGTAGTTCTTGAAGCGGGCCGGCTGGTTCCGCAGGATCTCCCTGAGGACGCGTAAGGCCAGCGCGCGGACCGAGTGCTGCGGGAGAGGACAGACGTCAGCGGGTGTTGGACGCGGCGGTGGCCCTCAGAGACAGACGGCGCCTTACGTCTTTGTCGCCCAGCGTCTCCAGCAGCAGCAGCAGCATACTCTTGAAGTGCTCCTCCCACACCACCAGGCTGTCCTCGCGCGCCGCCTTCAGCAGCTCCAGCAGCGTCCCCCGTCTGTCCTCGGGGCCCTGCTCCCCGGCGCCGCCCTGGGACAGCTCCTTCAGCAGCTCCCCCACCAGCTCCAGCTGCTCGGCGGGCGCCGCTGCGGGTCACAAACAACCGGTTAGCCTGAAGCTCCGCAGCCGGAGGCGGATAAACTCTGGGTTTGGGTCCGTTACCAGGGAAACCTTTGGCATTCACCGCCTTGTTTTCTCCGCAGTCCTGCCGCCGGCCTGCAGAGGGAGCCACAGTTAGAGACCCGAGCAGAACCCAGTCAGCCGTCGGCAACGGAAGCGGCTCTTACCATCTCTCCCCGGGTCGGCGCCGTCCTCCGTGGCGGGGGATTTATCCGGAGAGCTGTCTGTGTAGTTGTACGGGTTGTACTCCCGGAACCGTGGCCCGGAAAAGGAGCGTGGCGACGGGGTGTTGAGCAGCGACGTCTTGTTGTCCAGAGCCGTTCGGCCGCCCTCTGCCGGGTCGCCGCAGAACGCCGCCACGCCGGTCTGAGAGGAGAACAGGAATGAGCCTAGAACCGGGTCTAACGTAGAAGCTAACGGAACCAGCTGACCATGAAGTCCCGCTTCCCGTCCCGCCTGGGCGGCTCCGCCGGGTCCTCCTGGCTGCGGAAGCTGAAGCTCTGGATGGCCTCGGTCACGCCGCGCAGCGAGCTGTAGATCTCCTCAGAGTTCAGGTTCTCGCTGTCGAACTCCAAGGCGCTGGAAGAGAGGAGAGAGGCTGAGGCGGTGGTTCTAAGACCCGGAGGCGACGCGTCCCGGTTCTGCTGGCTTTACGCCACGGTACGACTAGGATGGCATGTGATGAGGTCACAGAGAGCAGGGACACGGACGGGCGAGGCGATGGGGGG